GCTTCTTATATATCTAAAAACCCTACTTGGCACAGACAAAGAAAAATTTTCACATAAAATATATTTTTATCTACATTTGTCCCAGTATCTTTGCTGTCGTATTAATTCTGCTTCAGGGACGAGAAAAGACAAATCATATTTGTATCAAAGTTCTTTTATACCAAAGCCTGTCTTTTGATGTAACTTCTTCACAAAGTAACGAAGTCAAGTTTGAAAGATGTATGTAAACGGATAGAGGACTTGTGATATGGGTATTAACATAACATTAGTTGTTCTTATTTTTCTTAAAGAAACGAGACGTCTTTTGTATTTTTATTTACAGGAAATGTGTCGTTTTTTCTACAAATAAAAGTGTGGGCGTCGTGGTGGCCCGGAGGTTAAGGAGCCCGCTTCTCATGCATGAGGGAGTGGGTTCGAAACCTGGTAACTACCAATGTCACTTTTTCCGGGTTATACTATATGTACTTTCTATGATTATTTAGACACCACTCACATACGGTGAAGGTTAACATCGTGAGGAAACCTGGACTTATAATTTCTAATTATATGTTTGAAATCGCCAACCCGCATTGAGCAAGCGTGGTGGTGGTAATACTCTTACCTTCTCCGTATAAGGAGAGGCATTTGCTCAGCAGTGGGCACTGATAGGCTGATGATGATGTGTTGTTCTAGAATACTTTGTTAGGATGTCATTTTGATGTAGGGTGATTATAGCAACGATCATAGGCGCAATTTTATTCAAGGAAAATATAATTTAATGACTTCTCCAGCCTTGAATGCGGCATGACGAAATGTCAGACTCTTACTGACTAAAAACCAAGATGAAAATCGTGGCCAAAGTCTACGCAACGGAATCGGCACCTACCCTACTCTACCTACCCTACCTAGCCTACTCTACTTACCCTACCTACCCTACCTACCCTACTTTACCTACCCTACTTTACCTACCCTACTCTACCTACCCTACTCTTCCTACCCTACTCTTCCTACCCTACTCTACATACCCTACTCTACATACCCTACTCTACCTACACTACTCTACCTACCCTACTCTACCTACCCTACTCTACCTACCCTACTCTACCTACCCTACTCTACCTACCCTACTCTACCTACTCTATCCTATGTCCTTCTCCTGGCTCTAAACTATCTCCCTGCCAATTTTCAGCTAAATCGGTTCAGCCGTTCTTGAGTTATAAGTGGTGTAACTAACACGACTTTCTTTTATATATAAAAAATATGATAAGATGTGAACGTTTCACAAACCCACAAGAGGCTAGCAACGTACTTGTGTAGTAAAACTCATTTGGTATTTAGAGTGTCCATGGGCGGCGCCGATTGCTTACCATCAGGTAATCCGTTTGTCGATATATAAAATACTAGCTACTCTCACGCGGTTTCATCCGCTGCTCGGCTTCATTGGATCGTAGCGTAAAGTTTTATTAGCCTATAGCACTCAGGAACATTGTAGCTATCTATCAGTGAAAGAATTTTGGCAATCCCACCAGCGGTTCCAAAGATTACCCCCTACATACAAACTTACAAATTTTCCTATTTATAATATTATAGTATAGAAAAGTAAAATATGAGAAACGGCAGCTCTAACCATACAGAAGTACACCCCAACATTATCCCCGGTAAACTTGCCATGCATTTTATTTTAGAGACAAAACGACCTGAGGCATTTCGTTTAAGAGCAGGAAGGCATATTTTCCTTCATTTTTCACAGGCAGGTGGTATGAGACCTCATTACTTTCTGGTCACGAACTCACCAGATTACGGCATGAGGAAATTATAAGGACATTGTGGGATGAACAAAGGTGTAGTTATATGAACTATATGGATGTTTGTATGGAACAGGGAAGATTTTTTTGTTTAGTATTTTTTTTTCCGCGTAGTTTGAATGAAGGATTCTTACGTGCCAAAAGTACCTGTATATAAATTGTTCAGTTGGATGAAATGTTTTTCATGATGAATTTCATGTAGATTTTTCAAATGATTTCACTTCAACTTTTACATGTGATTTTTTCTGAAACTGTAAGTTATTTTACGTAGGGTAACTATGTGTTAGTAATTATAAAAAAAAACAATGCAGACCGATTTTTGCACCTTAGCTTGTAAACTTAAGTTTGTACTTGTTTAAGAACAATGATTTGTTATTTTTTATTTAAAACTGTAATTATGGCCACTCGAATGATTTTTTTAATTAACATAAAAAACGGAAGCCACTCTTTGGTCGCATCACTATACAAAGTATAAAATACGTTAAACTTTTTTAAATATACCTTACATTAAGCTTTTTCAAAAATGACTCGGTGTCTGCATCCGCAGTTGATATTTGATTATAGGCTCTTCGTTTATTACATAGAGTTCAAAATACATATAACCAGCTACAGGCAGATGTAGCATTGAATTACGTGCCACACCTTAGAAGCAAAAAAAGTATGCTATGGTTGTGTTTGGTTCATATCTACATTGTAGGTAAGTATGTGAGAACCGTGCTCCGGCTTTATCTAGTTTCTCACATATAATTTGACGTGTAAAAGTGCTGTTTTATGACCTATTTACAAAAATAAATTCATTGTTCTTTTGTTTCATTGACACGAAAGAGGCGGCTTAACAGTGAACTTACGGAAAATAACGGTTTGGTTATATCAACGTGTACGTTACGTTACCGGAGACCTAACCTTCCCTTTTTGCATCCCAAATCCCTAATTCCTCGAACCTAAACTACAAAAAGGCAACAATGAGCGTGTTTCTCACCTGGTGTTGCGGTTATTGACGCCAATTAAGACTACCCTACTCTACCTACCCTACTCTACCTACCCTACTCTTCCTACCCTACTTTACCTACCCTAATCAACATACCCTACTCTACCTACACTACTCTACCTACCCTACTCCACCTACTCTACTCTACCTAACCTACTCTACCTAACCTACTCTACCTACCCTACTCTACATACCCTACTCTACCTACTCTATCCTATCCTTTGTCCTTCTCCCGGCTCTAAACTACCTCCCTGCCAATTTTCAGCTAAATCGGTTCAGCCGTACTTTCTTTTATATATAGATGTATACTTTATTGTACACATTTAAAAAAACAAAAGCAGGCTTACAGCTATATTTGACCGAGTTTACAATCTTTCTTATAAAAATAGAAAGAAAGCACTTCATAAAACTCATACAAAACTAAACCTAAGAAGGAAATTAGATAATAAAGACTAAGTGAAACCCGACGCAACCCAATGTTTGACTTGACAGAACTAAGTTATGAACGGCTCAAGCGACATGTAAGTTCTACCGTAACTTCGTCTCAAACTTATGAAACTTTGATTAAAAATTTAATGGGTACTTGGAATTTATTGAACATTTTTTTATATTAAATTAGCGAACCACCCTGCTTCAAACGAGTGCCATGCAGATACTACTAAATAAATTAATAAATAATAATTTTTCTCCACTATTCAATGGATGCTAATACATATTCCTCTTCATTCACTGTATCTATTAAAAAATCCCATCAAAATCCGTTGCGTAGTTTTAAAGATTTAAACATATAAATATAGATAGATATATATAAAGATAGATATACCTAAGGACAGAGAAACGGACTTTGTTACATACTATGTAGTGATAGGGCAAAAAAAAACAGACGGACCACCTATAGTAGTCAATAGGAGTCACCAAACATATCAAATACACAAAAGAAGTTACAATCGTGTTGACAGCCTTTGAGAGGTTTTTGATTTGGGGTCTAGGGGTTATCTGCTAAATCCATTCACATAGTTAAATTTATAGGTACCAAAGATTCAGTCGCAAAAACACACTTTCTAGGAAGCAAAAAGAGTTGTGATAAATAATACTGTTTCCCTAAAATATCCCCTACTTTATAGAGTAAACGAAACAAAGAAATTGCTCACTGCAACGCACACAGGTAACCATTCATTGTTATAACAATACCTACTTACTGCAAATCTAACCATACAAACAATTGTTTCTGGTCCCCGTTGTAGGCCCGTACACTCAATTATAGACCCTAGCCGATCCCTCGAGAGTTGAGGGGCAAGTCTACGAGATCTCAGCAAACATTCACGATGCTTTAAGTATCAAAATGGAGTGGGCAAAGCGGAAAAGATGAGTATTTTTCCTATTGATCATTTATTCATTTTTCTCTTAAGGAAAAAGGCTGTTTAAGTCTTGACGTTTGAAGTGATTTAAGTATTTCTCTATTAGCGTAATTAATTCTGATTCGCAATAATACTAAAAGCATATTTGAACGTTAAATTATTATTTAATATTTTGGTAGGGGTTACCATAAAACATTGTGAATGAAGTTTATAATTAACTCTTCTATTAACACACATCACATCGCACACCATCATCCATCATAAATTCATCTTCGACAGCATTATCATCATCATCAGCCTATAAATGCCCACTGCTGAGCAAAGGCCTCTTCGCACACGGAGAAGATTTGAACATTAAGCACCACGCTTGCTCGATGCGTGTTGGCGATTTCAAACTCATAATTAGAAATTATAAGCCCAGGTTTCGTCGCGATGCCGTTTGCCTAAAAAAACTTCAAAAGGAAACATCACTTTAAAAGTAGATGTCTATTTTTATTATGTTATGTCTATTGGAACAAACATCGTCCGTGCTGCAAAAGGCGGTTGAATTCAGTTATTGGCTTTCAATATGCCAATACAGATTAACTGTTTCAAACTTTGGCAACCTTTGCCTAACGTTTGAGTGGCTTAATCTATGAATAGTTGATCCAGTACGATAAATTCTACAAAATTCTTCATGGTACCTAACAACAGTAGGTAGATAAAAAGCAGCTCAAGTCTTAATCCAGGGTATCACCTTTTTTCGGTTTTGTGTGAAAGAGAAAGAGTAACAAACATACATTTATACATTCTTACAAACTTTCACATCGCATATCATGTCAATATTATAATTGCGAAAGTTACGATTTTTGGATGTTTGGATGTTTGTTACTAAATCACGCTAAAACGGCGGGATAGATGTTGATGAAATTTGGCACAGGCATAGGATACTTTCCGGAATAGGACATAAGACTTATTATCAACATACCACGCGGGTGAAGCTGCGGATAGAAGCTAGTTTATAATATAAGAAGCATAGGATAGAATGAACACAACACTGCAAAAGATTAAGGCACATTTGTATATAAAATACTTAGTTACGCCTAAAGTCGAGTAATTAACATTAAACTAATTCCTTTATAATTAATAACACTCAATAATGGACGTATTACTAATCCTCAACAAGGTAAAAACTACAAAAGCGAATCAACCTTTAAATAAGCACACAATATTTGCGTTAGCAATTGGTACAGCACAGAAACAGAAAATACATTGTAAATTATTCTGAATACAAATGAACAGTTAGTTTTCGAAACACCGATTTGTTCAGATAGTAAAGCATTTCAGACTAAGTTCTAGCTCGTAGACAAGTTACTAAGACCTCCAAGGACGAAGTAAGAAGTTAAACTTGAGAACTAAGTTCGACTGTGATATCACATTCTGGAAGCAAATTTTTGATTCATAACAATACATTAGATATCGGACTTTTTATAGAATATGGTGGCAAACAACCAGATGTAGGCTGCGCGACGTCGCCGCGTCCGCGCACGCTGCTCATGAGGAAGAACCCCTTTGTGGTTCGAAACTAGTAGAGCTTTTCTCAATATACACACGTGAGTAACCCGCGATTTTTAGTTAATTTAGTATGTCTCACGATAGTTATTATAAAAACAAACCAGATTGGTCATTTAATAGTAAGCATACGGCATTTCCTATGGACGCCCAAACACCAGAGGAGTAACGAGTCCGTTGCTGGTCTTTTGAAGGTTTATTTGTCTATTTTAATATTTGTTACATACCATACTTTATTGTACATACAAAGAATTATATAATTTAATCTCAAAGTTACAAGTGTTAGTAAAAGTCAAGTAAGAGAGAGCCATGCTTTGGCACGAATGGGTGGCTCGACCGGAATGATACCACGGCCTCACAGAAAACCGACTTGAAACAACCACAGCGCTGTGTTTCGCCAGTCGAGTGAGGTTACCGAAAGTCCAATCCTTTCCTTCCCCCAATCAATTCCCAATCCTAAAATCTCCTGATCCCTAATCCCCAAAAGGTCGGCGATGCACTCGTAACTATTCTATTGCTGTCGCGTCCATGGGCGGCGCTAATTACTTACCATTAGGAAATCCGTTTGCTCGTTTGTGGTTTAAAACGGCGAGGATCAGGATCTCCTGCAACCTCACTTTTACGGCTAACCACAATGTAAGAGTTGTTTCACTCGTTACCATGCTTAGAATATGGTACTGGCCAATTTGACTCTTCAAAATCAAGAAAAAGACGATGACATTTTGATGAATTGAATGACAAAACTCCACGAACGAAGCCATTCAATCTACAAAATGACGAAAGCATCTAAATCTCAAACGTTTTGAATCAGGACGACTTTTTTTATGAATTAACAGAAACTTCTCAATCCTTCTTCGTTCCTTTGGCTTTGTTTATTTCGAACCGAGCCGAGGTCCATAACTGCAAATGGACTCTGCCCCTCCGCAAACAATGTTATTATTTTGTTTCAAAACTAACTTCGGTTGTAAAAATAAAAGTTAGAAGTTTGCTTTCAGTGTTTCTGTTTACTTTTCAGAAGAATTGAGAATTTAATGTTGATTTTCGTTGATTTTCGTGACAGTGTTGTTTTGAAATGGATGGTTTGGATTAATTGGGCTTTTGTTTCTTGTTCCTTTTGAATTAATTTGATTAGAAATCAAAAAATCAAGTCAAACATACACCCTTAGATTTGATTCATTATTTGCTATTTAATTGAACAGTCTTTACCATGAAGTTAATAATATAATAATAAATAAGTTAGAATACGGAACTCATTTTTAGCTACCTTGATTAAACCCTGATACACCATCAACTGTCTATTAAGTTCCTACAACTGACTAAAGGCCTTTATCACACAGTGAAGAAATAAGCATTCGATTACATATAAGCATTCGCTTGCTCAGAGCTGATAAACGATTTCAAATTTATAATTCAAAATTATAATTTCTAGTTTCCTCACGCTTTTTCCATCATGAATGCCAGCAGTGGCATCTAGACTATTTTAGAAAGTACATATAACTTTAAAAATGTCACATTGGTACTTGCCAAGTTTTGAACTGTAGTACGCTCATACATCAAAAGCCTTGACCTTCAAGATGCCATGACTATTCCCCAGCCTAGATTAAAGTTATTAAAATTATGGACCCTTTGATAACAAACAAGATATTAGGAATATATTATAAACTAGCTTTTGTTCGCATGGAATAATATCTTCCTGTAGATTTTTGGTAAAAAAACTCTCCTATGTCTTTTCTCGAGTTCCAAACTATGCCTGTACCAAATTTCACACAAATAGGTTCAGTAGTTTAGGCGTGAAGATAAGACAGACAGACACAGAGTTACTTTCGCATTTATAATATAATATTAATTTGGATTTCTCACGTAGGTTTCTTGTAAATTGAAATTTACTCGATAGACTAAGTGGAACTTAACTTAACTTAACTAGAAAAGGTCGAGAGAAATTAAGTTCAACTTATGTATATATAGGTACTTAATATCTTAACGTTTACGGATCACGTCACTTTGTAACTTTAGATAAGTTATCCAAGTCTAAGTAAGTAAGATGCTAAAGGAAAATATTGTGAATATTATATGAAAACTATATTCGTGTCAGAACCAGAGGGAATACTTAATGGTAGCTCAAAATTTATTTCAATCTAATTACTTATGGTTCTTTCTGAATTGGGAATTCGCTTTTTTACAATTGACGTTTTATTTTTATTGTATTTAAATTTTATTAGATTTTTTATTTTATATTATTATTAGATTTTATATTATTATTTAAATTTGACACGCATTAGAAATTAAAATACATTTTCGTTTCGAATGGTGCAATAGATTTCACTCACGTAAAAAAGATATCCAAACATTCAGCGATAACTCATTAAAAAAACTAACGTATACAAATCAAACAATTTCAGTCTTTATTAAAATAAGTATAAATCATAATTTACAAACAAAAACATACATCTACACTCTACTTTACTCTACTACACTCTACTTTGAGCTTCAAATAGGTAGATTCGACCGGAGTGATACAGGCTACGACCTCACATGAAACCGGCGCGAAAAAAAACGCTTGCAATAGTTTTCATCGTGTTTCCAATCCTTTTCAATCTTCAAATCCCCAATAGCTCCCAAAGAAAAAAAACAGAGTCATAGTTCCTCTGGTGTTTCGGATGTCCATGGGTGGCGCTGATAACTCAACTCAGTTAATCAGCCATCTTGTAGGCCTTATCACATAAAACATGGCGATAGTTCCAACGTACATGGACTGCAAAGTTTGGAACCTGAATCATTAATTTCTTGCAGAAAGCTTTTAACAAATTGTGGGGTAGAACAAAAAGGCTTGCTGGCTTTTGTGGACGCGAACCGGCTACAATTACAAACCACTTTGGATGTAATTAATTTTTAATTGCAGCTCGCAATTTGAAGGAATTGTTGGTCTGCTACTAGCATACTCATTTGTGAAATTTTGCAACGATGTCGCTTTTTTTACTTTTGTTTGTTCATTGAGTAGTTGTTGAAGAGAAAGTAGAAGCAGTTTTGGTTAAAAAAGGAGTGATTGTAGTTTCAAGTTTTCCGAAAATAGTGATGTGTTTGTAATAAAACCTTGAAGAACAAGCTTTTTTGTGAGAAGAAAATCATCAAATGACTTCTATCGCCCAGGGTGTGTTAAAGTCTTACTAACCCTATATCCTATACACAGTCATATAGGTACAAAGATTACTGTCAATTCCCCTAGAAAGAAAAAATAGAGTTATAATGCTACCAAGAAACGAGTGCTTAAGTATTCTTCTTCAAAAATTGGGCCTGAAAGGACTTTGTTCCTTACAACTTCTTGATAAATGAAACTTTTCAGGATCGGCAAAATTAATGGAATAACAAATTAGTACAAGAACCTTATTCGTGGGCGCCTTACTTCCAAGAGTTATCTAAATTTTGTAGGTTAAAGGTCAAATAACTGAAAAACTGTGTTACAACATATACATATGTAGTTACGCGGGTATGAATGTGGAAAATAATTATTTAAATACCTTGGTAGGCTTGACGTTTCGACCTGGTTAACAATATGTTGTAAATATGAAACGCGAAAGTCAGTATATATCTTAATTGTGTGATGTTTTATGGTCCTCTAGAGTGGACAGAAATAAAAACAACGTCAGTACATTATCATTTGCTCTCAAATAAAACAGCTGATTAGGGCCCGTAGAAATCATGTTACCTTTTGTGAATTGAGTGGTAGGCTTTGTTTTCTTAAAAGCTAGTATATTTCATTGAAAGTTATAAACTTTGTGAAGAAGAACCCACCAAAAGACAAAAAGCAGTATACATAAGAAGATTTCTCCAAAAGATTCATGGAAAAGTTTAAAAACTTGGTATTCATTTGTCGAAAACTTTCAACACGGCCACTTGAAATGCACAGTAAATTCGTTTCTAACGATGCCGACGTACAGTTAGCAGCGAAAGTTGCTGCATTAACAGTACGGGCACAATGCCAGATAAAGATAAATTAAAAACTTTTAGCAGGGTTGTAATTAAAAGTGGGTTTCAAGGGATTTAGTTGTATAATAAGAATCGTGTCACCAAAATGTTTGTTTACTACCTCGTTGGGTTAGTAAAGTATAATTAACTTTTAACTTTTAGAAGTTCAAATTATGAAGTCAGTTTTTTTAATAGGACGACGGAAGAATACTCCTATGGAAACTTTTACAACAAGATGAAGATACAAGTTATAGTAATAACAAAACAAAAGTCTATATAACTTTTTTTGATAAAAATATGTTGAAAAGAAAAATAAAAATAAGTACCTGCTTACTTATAAAATATACTTATAACCAAGTTCAATGAAAAGTTACTGAAAAAAATAATATTTTCATAACATGACAAACAATAACAAAATTTCAATACAGATTTCTTACAGATGTTTCAGACAAACTTATGCTTTCAATATTACAGCTTAAGTTCAAGAAACTTTGTGAAAGACAAATAATGAACGTTTAGCGTAATTAATACTTGGACTGTGTCCAAAGCGGTATAATATGAATGAAGTTTATGTAAGTGTTACATAAGAATAGGCTGATGATGTTCTATTAATTTCGTTATCACTGTCCTGGTAGTTTTCAGACGGGGCCTTATAGGGCTGATGTTCAGCCGGGGTTGCGGGTTAAGCGCAATGAGTCAGCGCGGCGCCCAGAGCAGGAGAAGGAACGGGGTTGTTATTAATCAGTAAGAGTCTGACACTCTCTCGCCTTACCCTGGGCGGGAGAAGTCATTTGATGATCTTCCCCGGACAAAAAAAAAACAGGGTAGTTTTAGTAAAGTTAAGGCCCATACATGAGGAAGCAGTAATTATGTACGGATTATGTAGATACCGCTCACATACGTTGCAGGAAAACATAGTATGAAAACCTTTTTTTGAAATGGTAAATTAACAAATGACTGTTCACGTGTTGGGCTGGATGAAAAGGAGTGTCAGACTATTACTGACTAAACATTAAGTGTCAAGCCCGCAAACTGAAATGATCATGAAATCAAAATCGCAGAAATGTGCCTTTAGCAAGCCAGGTGGTTAATGTCTCCGTATGAGAAGAGGCTTCTGTTCAACAAGGGGAATTTATAGGCTTATGATGATGCAAAGATTTGTTTGAATAGCCCTTGTCTGTCATAAGCACTCAGATTGACTGACAGCTGGTATTCGTAACTGGAGAAGTAAAACGAAGTGCGCTCTCGTCTTGAAGACTTGACCGACATCCGAATGAAATAATTAATTGCATTTTATATTATGAATGCATTCCCATTATATTTTGATTAGAATTTCAGTTACATGAACCTTAAAAATATATAAATATACGACAAAGACAACTTACATTTCCTCACAAATCTAGATTGGTATAACATAACAATAGATGGAGAATCAAATCAAATCCACAGCACCTTCCGCTATCGGGTATTCACTTCTCAACTAGTTTGTGTGAAGGGTATGAATAAGATAGATTGGAGGGAGATAGATAGATTTTTGTAGGTTCTGCAAATGACTAATTATTATTGATGATGTTCGGTGACGTATATGGCATTATATGTAGATTTTTCATTCAAAAATGATTTTTAAAGTAAGCTATCCTTCAATGCCCAATCCTTCCCCGCCCCCAATCCCTCCTCAATCCCTAAATCTCCAAATCCCTAATCCCTAAAAGGTCGGCAACGCACTCGTAACTCCTCCGTTGCGGGTGTCCATGGGCGGCGCTGATTGCTTACCATCAGGTAATCCGTCTGCTCGTTTGCCGACCAATTACATAAAAAAAAGCTAATGGATGTCTTTTTTAAAAATCTAGTAGTTTAGGTATATCCAAAACCTGACTCTAATGTGAAACCTTCTGGACATTAATGACTCTGTACAGCAGCAAATTCGCATGATCTATGTTGATCATGCAAATCATCTTGTGATGATTCGAATCATCTCATGATCTTGTTCATATATCAAATTTCCCTTTTCCTTTTAAATTACTTATTATTAAATAAGAAATGTTTATAATAATAGAAACTATAACAATTACGATAAATTATGATTACCTAAAATTCGCGGGTTACTCACGTGTACATGTTGAGAAAAGCTCTACTACGGCTACTACTGCGGACGCGGTGACGTCGCGCAGCCTACGTCGCCGCATCCGCGCACGCTGCTCATGAGGAAGAACCCCTCTGTGGTTCGAAACTAGTAGAGCTTTTCTCAACATGTACACGTGAGTAACCCGCGAATTTTAGTTAATTTAGTATGTCTCACGATAGTTATTATAAAAACATAAATTATGATGTTTGTACTTTTAATTATTGTAAAAATTCAAATGAAATCATAACTTTTATTTCATTGTTGGCCTCCGTATATGTAGGGTCGTGAAATAGGCGCTAGGGGATTCAGAAAAAATATCCTAAAAAACCATAAAACATAGTCTACATAGAAAAATAAAGCTACTCACCAGAAACCTCACGAGGAGTTCAATTGTGAACCAAACATTGCAAACTAGTTCAATATAAAAGAATGCTGCATGTGGCTTCCCATTGTCATGCCACAGCATTTCCAGGGATTCAGACCCGTTTTCTCTCAGTATGCTGTCGTGGTTGAAGACCCGGAGGTCAGGGTGCGTCTTCAGGCAGAACGACAAGACAGATATGCAGATGAAGAAGACGGATATTGCTGATATCACCTGTGAAAGAGAGAAAAAAATAATGTTAGTTTTTTTTTGAGAATCGCTACCTGCAAACCCACCGCGGTTTGTAGGTCTTGTTTACTGTGTGGCGGTCAAATGAGAGATGTTTCACACGATGGTAAATAACGAGTGGCGTACATGCACGTCTACGACATCATAGGAGTTACAGTTTTAAGTGTGGGAGAGCCATGCTTCGGCACGAATGGGGTGGCTCGACCGGGGCGGCTCGACTGGAGTGATACCACGGCCTCACAGAAAACCGTCGTGAAACAACCACAGCGTTGTGGTTCGCCGTGTGAGTGAGGTTACCGGAGGCCCAATACTTTCCCTCCCCCAATCCCTCCTTAATCCCTAAATCTCCAAATCCTTAATCCCTAAAAGGTCGGCAACTCACTCGTAACTCCTTCGTTGCGGGTGTCCATGGATGGCGCCGATTGCTTACCATCAGATAAACCGTATGATCGTTTGCCAACCTATTAAATAATAATAATAATACAGTTACCTAAGGTGGAAACGTAACTAACTTTTGCGACGTGTCGTGACACACCAGAGCATATCGATTTTTAACATTTGACAGAATGCGACATGGCCCGTAAGTTAAAGTGTCTGCACATCGACAAAAACCATGATAAAGTTTAAAATCTTTTCACCACTGACGTGACATCACATGCCACGTCACAAAATTATGTTAGTGCCTTTATAGATTTCGGACGTAGTTTAAGGCAGGTAGCCCCTCGTGTTTATCTGATGTATTTCGAAATAAAAATGAATGAAAATTATTTATTCCTTCATATCATAGTATCAAATTGTACAGTTTTTGTTTCAAAAAAGAACGGATTGGGAGGTTTTCTTAATTTAAACTTATTTTCAAACGACGAGTGTGTATTAACTTTTTTATGTTAACACGGATTTGATCCATTAATACTTATTAACACACAATACAATTGCATTCATTTGCAAATCAATTAATAAATGAATAAAGAAAAAAAATCACACGAAAACAAGACGAATACATTTCACAAGAAAACAATACAGCAAATAAAAATTCGAATGTTTTACAACGTTGGTCATTAATCGTGACCATTAAAAAAACAAACCATGGCGCATCATTTACATGGAGATCACAAAAACATTATCATTCCTCACAGCATAATCACAAAAGACATTAGAATTTTCGACGTGTTTTTAAAACCACATTTACACACAAACTGGTGTGAACATCGTCAATCATTGTGTTATTCTGTGGTAGACAGCGCAGGCTATGGACCGTCCAAGTCATAAGATTTAGAAGTTTACTTGAATCAAACCCATGATCATGCTGATGATTTACTCTAGTTAGATGATCCGTCGTATCATTTATAGCCTTCTTTTTTTTCTAAGTCTGGAAGAGCCGTACTTTGACACGAATGAGCTATCTCGACCGGGGTAATAGCATGGGTAAGCAGCTATTCGGCGTAAGTGAGGATACTGGAGGCCCAACCCCCTTCCCCAATATTTAAATTTCAAACTTCGAATAATTTCCAATAAAATGATAATTAAAGTAAAAAGTTGAATTTAGTGTTAAAATCTTAAATTATTCCTTATCTTAAAATCAGCTGTAACTTAACCTTGACTTACTTAAGTTATCTTACTAGGATCTCGATTTTCAAAATTTAACAATAATAAAATCTGTACCATTTTCGTGTAGAGTAAGTAGGTCAGTAGCAATGTCATTGGCTTCGAGTATGTAAGACTCACAATACAACAAACAAAAATCTAACAAATACTTTAATAGACTAATAGTTGCTATAAATCCTAATTTCGGTTTATTTTATAGCCACAGATATGTTTACTAAACCCATATTTCCAAGTACAACATTTGTCACGCTCGCTTTTTGTTTATAACTTGTGCCACACATATCACGTAATTTGTCACAATTCTGTGACGCATAAATATTTAGTGAGGATCGCGCTGACAATCTAGTTCCGTACACAAATATGATGTTCGCACTTTATACTATTTTTTAAATATGTTCAGATGAATATTGTCTTAAATTGCTTACACAAGATTTTCTCCTGTATTGTGTTTATCATGTTTATACAAATAAATTTGAGCATCATAACCACACTTGTGAATATATATTTTATTGTCTCTTGTATCGTGGGTGCGGTTACAAACATTCAATTTTATATACTCACACACCCAGACCCGGAACCACAATTTGTGGACTACACAAAGAATTGTTCCATGCAAAAATCGGACCTCAGGACCGTGCTCAGGACACGCTGATTAGAAATTGCGCCATTTTTTTTTAAACTTTGCCCCACACTACTAGGATTTTCTCCTGTGTCGGGGGTGCGTTTAAAACCTACAAATTAACATACACAACACACCCAGACCCGAAACAACAATTTGTGGATCACACAAAGTGTTGTTCCGTGCGAGAATCGAATTGCGAAGTCATTTTTTTTATAAATTGATATTTAACACGTTAATCACCACGTTGGTCACTGGTGACCAACGGTAGCGGAGGATTTTCCTTCAATAGTTTAGTAAAGCATATTTAGAAAATAAAATATACACTAGTAACATAATTTTCAGTGAAAAGGGTTGGTATTTATTTAGGCTGCATCTAGTAGTAGTAACAAGGTAAATATTATCTGCCAAAACAACACCTCCACAAATCTACCGTTCGTCGGACATATTGTGGACAAACACTTATGTTTATCAAAATATCTTACTTTAAACGTCCAATGTCAATCCATATTTGTTTTAATCCTACACTTCTGTTAGTCTTGCTCAGAATACAGAACAATAGTCTTGTATTTTGTAACAACAAAATCTGTGCTTGCTAAATATAAAAATCGTATGACTCAATTATATCAGGTTTGTGAAATTTCTGCAGTTCAGATCTCGAGATATCTTGAGATTTAACCTCCGGTAACCTCACTCACACAGCGTAACACAACGCTGTGGTTGTTTCACGCCGGTTTTCTGTGAGGCCGTGGTATCACTCCGGTCGAGCCGACCCATTCGTGCCGAAGCATGACTCTCCCACACATTCAATGAATCATATTATCAATAACTAGTGGATTAATGAGAATAATACAAAAACAATTCAAATAAATTTTGCAGAATGTTTATTAATGTATTTAATGTTATAATGTTTAATGTACAATATTTAAAATTCAGTACATCACATAAACCAAACTAATACCAAATTAGTTCGCAGAAAAACGAGTAATCACTATTCTTTGAATTGATGTTAATTGTTTAAGTTATAAGCTAATTAAACACATTTGCGTCAGTTACCATAACATAAGCTTTACAGAAACAAAATACCATCACAGATAGTGTTCAAGCAAACGACTCGGAAAACACAACCTCGCTATCCTTCAAAGTCGGTTAACACAATGTTTGCATACGGTCAGCGTAGTGTGTAGACGGCCTAATAATATGGTATAAAGAGATTCATCGCCCGAATTCAGGGAGCTGTGACATCGCATCTTCAGTCTGCCTGCGACCACGATCTGTGCAACCAGGTTGCAACGTCAAGCCTACCAAGGTACTTAAAGAATTATTTTCCGCGATATGTTCAACAGGGCTGATGTTCAGCTAAAAAAATGTCGTGGTGGCCCGGAGGTTAAGCAGCCCGCTTCTCATGCATGAGGGTGTGGGTTCGAAACCTGGCAAGAACCAATGTGACTTTTTCCGAGTTATATGTACTTTCTATGATTATTTAGACACCACTGACATACGGTGAAGGTAAACATCGTGAGGAAACCTAATTTCTAATTATAAGTTAGAAATCGCCAACCCGCATTGAGCAAGCGTGTTGATTAATGCTCAACCGTTGTCCGTATGAGAAGAGGTCTTTGCTCAGCAGTGGAGACTTATAGGCTGATGATGATGATGATGATGATGTTCAGCTGGGTTTGCGGAGCAAGCGCGATAATTCACCGCGGCCTCTGACTGGAGCAGGAGAAGGGACGAGTTGGTTTTTAGTCAGTAAGAGTCTGACACTCGCCTACGCAGAGCGGTAGAAGACATTTAAGGTCACGCTCCCTCAAAAAAAAACCACGTGTTACAACAGACACTCAAAATACTTAACTTTTTTATGGGATTTAACGCGCACGCACCTTTTGACAAAGCATGGCTACATGATTTTACACATGCCATGGTCACAACTTCACAAGCAGACTTAACTGACTAAAACAGTAAAGTATTAATATACAATGCGAAAGTTTAAAGTATTATATAGACACTCAAATATATGGGTACAAAACTATAAAACATAAAATATATATATCCAATCCAAACTATCCAAACTAATATTATAAACGTGAAAGTAACTCTGTCTGTCTGTCTGTCTTATCTTCACGCCTTAACTACTGAAACTATTTGTGTAAAATTTATTACAGACATAGTTTGAAACTCCAGAAAGGACATAGTCTTATGATAGTCTTTAACCAAAAAATCTGACACTATTTCACGCGAACAAAGTCGCGAGCAAATGCTAGTTTACTATACACGCATAAGTCTGTCAAGGTTAGCCGGGGCTGCGGGGTAAGCGCAATGAGGCACCGCGACCTCGGCCCAGAGCAGGAGAAGGAACGGGGGGGTTTTTAGTCAGTAAGAGTCTGACACTCTCTCTCGCCTTACCCTGGGCGGGAGAAGTCATTGGATGATTTTCCCCTGACAAAAAAAAAAAAAAAAAAAGTCTGTCAAGGTTCTCTTAAATTAAAACTCTTAAGGACCACTTAGAAAAGAACGAATGTTACGACACTTTTTTAATGAAAAACCTTCCTAATGGTGGCTCTGGCAACGGGTTTTGTGCTAAGACTGATAAATTGCAGCTTTGCTCTCTGCTAACAGGGTAAAATGACGATTTCATTTGTGCTAAAGATAAGCGTATTTTTTTCATTGGCTAAGAGAGAAGCAGTGTTAATTTTATATATTTGGCAGCAAACATCATTTTTTTTTTTTTGTATCGGCAAACTAATTTATTTGATAGTAA